AGGGGGAGAGAAAGAAGGGTAAACCTGTACCCTTCTTGTTCTAATTACTTGATGCCATGGTAAATTAGAAAGTTGTTAGTAACAAAATTTACAAAACCCAATCAAACTTCCCTATGGAGACCAACAAGCTCTTGGCTGAAAATATGATTGTGATACCTCATATGTCTATCTCTGCAAAGAAACATAGGCACAGGAACCATACTCTAATTGCAAAACCTCTGCGGATTTTTAATCTCTGAAAAGTAACAAAAGAAATGTATCCACAATAACATCCGAGGGCCACGGTCCACTTAGACAACAGGAAGTCAAATGACAATAATAATAGAAATATAAAGAGAATGGTTCTCTTACGAGTAGTGATTTCCACCAATCCAACTGTGAACATCTCTTTAAGACCAATCAAATAAAAAATATAATGTCCGTAAGAACAATTAAAAGCTATTTTTCTCACCAAATGCCAATCCAAAGATGACTAAATCCTAGGTAGTATCACAACTAACTTTTTTTATGAGGATGCTATTGGCAAACAGGGGAAACCCAGTATACATCCCCATATCAAGGACACTATATGGTTAAGTAAACTCAAGGAACCGTCCAACTATCTTTAAAAAGGGTAATTTATGTTTGCTCCAAAATACACCAAGAAGAAAATGTGCTTTAACTGAATCATTGAGCTTTGTTCGTCCTGCAAAAGTTCTTCTATTGCATTACTTTCAAACTAACAAGAAGACAGTGTTGGACAACAAAATATAGCAGAACTCTCAAAGACATATGGGTGACAAGCTGTAATTCAACAGATACCAGATTTCAAGTAGAATCGATATATTATACATGAAATACTGAACTTCTATTTCCACCTCGTAAAACATAATATAACAGAATAATCAACATTACAGTAAAATATACCTCATCAACAGCATTATCCAAAAGCTCAGCTATTGCTGCAATGACATTTAAAATATCAGTGGTCATGCAATAGTACGAGCAGAATGGATTCACACGGAAATGTACTTATTAATTAACTATCTCCCATCACGATATGACTACGACTGATAAGATTGGCACTATGCTCTTCTATCAACCAAAAATAATATAGCAGATCAAAGTGCCACATGTAAATGTACAGCACACAATAATTTTTAGACAACATCGAAAGAATCCTCGGGTTAGTTTCTATGTTCTTAAGTAAAGGCACTTGCTTCGGCTTACAACAAGTGTCATGCAGGTTTTCTTTAACAATCTCATTAAGATAGATAGAAGAGGTTTTCTTTAACAATCTCATTAAGATAGATAGAAGAGGTTTTCTTTAACAATCTCATTAAGATAGATAGAAGAGGTTTTCTTTAACAATCTCATTAAGATAGATAGAAGAGGTTTTCTTTAACAATCTCATTAAGATAGATAGAAGAGGTTTTCTTTAACAATCTCATTAAGATAGATAGAAGAGGTTTTCTTTAACAATCTCATTAAGATAGATAGAAGAGGTTTTCTTTAACAATCTCATTAAGATAGATAGAAAATAGTTCTGATTATAAAATAAGTACAACCAACAAAAGACAACATTGGAAGTAACATGAATAGAACCTTGCAACAAATACAACAAAAAGCGATTGACCTTAACCTGATAAACCCTACTCAACCATAAAATTTACCTCCAAACGCCCATTTATGAGAAGTAGCATTGGAATGCAGAAATTTGGGATGAACACGCGCATGTTCCAATTCACCTACAGGTAACCAACCAACTTAACTCATGTTGCAAGTAAAATTAAATTCTGAATTGCGAAAACAAAGATGAGAGATGAACCGTGTATAGCAGTTGATTTGATACGACCAACTTCAAAATTGCCAGCTTTCCAGAAACTTCGAGAATCCAGTGGCCTGTAATTAGAATCCGGTGGTACAACGGCGTTGGGATTTTCTATTACCGGTGATTTACTCAGTGAGTTACCACCGTGATTAATTTCTGGTTTTGTCATTCCGAGGACGGGAACGCCGGTGCCCTCGTCGTCGCTACTATCGAGTTCGACGACATCCATTGGAAGCTTCTCTACCTTAGGCGGCATTAAGAAAGAATTAGATGAGAAGAAGTTAGTGATCCGTTTCACAAGAAGTACCGGTTGGCACTGATCACTGAGAGGTTTCTTGAATCTTGAGGGTTTTACAAGACTACTGTCTAAAGTTCTGTCTAGCCAGGCTTTTTGGAATACTAAAATCTCTTTCTCCTTTTTATAATGTCAATTCTTTATTGAAATTTATATTTATCCAGCTGTATCTCTTGTTAAATTTAATTTAGTTTAGTATATTTGTGTTAAATTTAGATACAACCCATCTCTCTCTCTTTTCTTTTCTTTTTAAAAAAAACATATTTCTAGTTATTAAAACTCTTAAATCTTAATATGTATGATTTTATTCTTCATCCTAAAATTTTAACTAGATAAAAGTAAAGAATCTAATTAAAGTCTTTTGATAGAAATATAAAAAATATTTTCTTTTTCTAAATAATACTAATTATAAAATGAATTTAACAGGATTTTCTCTTTCACAATTTGATACTCAAATACCTTTTTTTTTAAAGATCTTAAACATAGTAATTTATTATCAAATATTTTTTGAGATGTTTATTCATTTAAACACAAAATATTTTTCTCTAAAATTACTTAACTAATTAAGAATTTTTGAAAACTTACTTCTAAGTCTAATAATTACTTTTTTGTAACAACTATGAACATTATCATTGATAACAAACGAGAATTATAACTTTAATCACCTAACAACACATAGCACCTAGTTCATATACCCACTTCTTCTCATAGCTAGTTACCAATTAAAGTTTGAATAAATCTCCTACATTAATATAAAAAAAATTCCTGATAATCTACCTATCATGTCTATGAATTCACGTTTGATCATTGTTATAACTTGTTCTTTTTATACATTTACTCCTTTGTATATATTTCAATTCCCGCTCTTCAAATATGATATACCATTGCCCCCCATAGAGCGCAAATATTTTTTTGTTTGTTTTACTCCAATGCTTCTTGTTGATTTCAGTAGTACCTAATTAATTTCAATTGTACCTAATTAATTTCAATTGTTTGTATATGTATGTGAGTGAGTCCATTGCTTCTTTTACTTTTTGCGTTTCTACACATTGATCAATAAATGGAATGTTGACTTAACCCTATGTGTGTCACAAAGACAACACCCTTCATTTTCCACCTTGATGTGCATCTTCATTAACCTCTCCTTAGTAAGGAGTCTGCCGAGTGTAGCTAACCACAATATAAACTTGTGTCTTGATTGTTTTTACAGTATTTCATATTAGTGAAGCAATTTTCGAAGGTCTTTGTGATGGCGATGTAACTTATGGTAATGAAGTATCTTCCCCAGCCGTTAGATTATATCTATCTTGGGTATACTAATGGTTCATTTCATTCTTCAAGTTATTTAGTTTCCTCCAGTATCAATCTGGAGGGGCAATACAAGATCAACTATTATCATTTGATTTCATATAGATGATATGTACACGCTTGACCCACAAAGATTCTTTATTCTCAATTAATTGTCATAACAACTTTCGCACCAAAGCAACGTTTCAGTCATGGCAAACTTTAATGTTGAGCCCCATGTACTTTTTAGGCATGCAAAACCTTCTCCTAAGCAACCAAGGTGTTCATTGTTTATCTTTAGTATTGCCTCATAAGTAGTTTTTGCAAATTTTATTCACCTCTTAAACAACATTTTGGGGTAGTACAAAGACAAATCTCCAAAAACGCTATGTAACGAAAATAGGACTGATGTTATCACTTGTAATCTTCATGTGTATGATAACTTCTTCGAATAAGTGACAGCTATTCGTTGGGTTATTTTGGCAATCAATTGATGGCATTTCATCTTCGACCACTTCTTGGAGAACAGAGGTAATCCCAGGTATCTGATTGAAATGAGCTAAGTGTAAATTCAATCCTATTGAGTATTCTTTCTTTAGTCTCCTCAATTACCTTTATTATAAAAATGTGGGACTTCTCCATGTTTGCCTCTAAGCCGATAACATGGCCTGACTAAAATCTAAAATGTGTGTGCTTCAACATTTTGGTCACTGACTCAACTTCCCCTTTAGAAAATACCATAAGATCATCAGCAAATATCAGAAATGTCAACTTGACCTGCTTACACACATGAGATGAAACTTGAAGTCTAGCAACGACCTTACAGTTTTATAAAGTCTAATAACTACTTTATAAAACTTACTTTAAGCCTTCTGTGATATGTTCTTATCACACAAAGATAGTGAAGTGCAACTTTCATTTCATATATCCCATTCCAATACGATGTGTAATATCATTGTCAATCTCTCAAATACTTTGAAGAGTTAAAAATAAACGTAGATCTGAAAATTCTAGAATAGGGCTACCATTCGAATTGCTATTGAATTCATGGACAAACAAGAGATAACCTGACAAACTAAAACATCTTAGTAGCCTAGAAAATAAAGCAAAAAAGATTTTCAAAATAACGGCGAACGAAATGAGAACAACCTAATTTTTTCTTGATTATTTGTCAAGATAGTTGAAAATGACTTATATATGAATCCTTGGTTCATATCTATCAAATAATAAATTATGTCACTAAACTTATACCCCAAATATTATATTATAATTTTACCCAATCTGTATAATAATCATCTAAACTAATTTTATTATAGTAAATTAAAATAAATAAGATAATCAAAATATATGAAATCACGGTGATTTGCTTAAGCTTTTAATGATCAAAAAAATTAACGTTAGTTCTAAAAAAAATAAGAAAGTTATGTTATGAAATCAAAGATCTCAGAAAGAAAAAATTAAAGTGAAATTTTTGTTTGTTTCCGTCCACGTATTCCATGGGCCTAGGGGAAAAAAAGCGAGTAGGGGCATATATGTAAATGTAGAATCCTCTTGCTTCCATCCTAAGCTAAGCCCTATATAAGACGGAGAGAGCCTATCCAAATGAGCAGAGCTTTCTTGTTTGGTAAGCTAATTTTTGCGAAGCCCATAGAAAAAAGAACAACTCAGAGAAATGGCAGAGGAGGGACAAGTCTTTGGCGTCCACGCCGTTGATGAATGGAACCAACATCTCCAAAAAGGAATTGATAACAAAAAACTGGTAACACTTGTCTTTTCTCTTTTGTTGTTTTGTCTTGATTTTGTGTTTTTTTTTCTTGTATGATTAATTATTTTCTTCGTTCATCGTTGGATTTCTTGCTTTATGTTATTACGGATCGAATCTTGATTAGGCGTGGGTTTGTCGAGATCGGGAATTGGAAACTGTTAAAAAGAAAATTGGGTTCTGTGTTTTATATGATTATATATAAACCAATTGCACATCGTTCTGTTTCGTTTTGAAATTAGAAAATCATATTTATTTTTTCACATTTTTAGTTTCTTGTTCGATTTGATGGTCTCCATTATGATTTATGAGGATTAAAATCTTGACATCGTTTCCCAATTTATTTATTTTCTCTACAATGTAGACAATATTCTATCTCTGCACCCATAATAAAAAAGGGATAAACCTTTATGTTGTTTAGGCTCATCCGCGTTTCACATCGAGGGCGTTTTAGGATGACAACCTATGTTTATTTTTTCGAAATTAGAGATTTTACCGAATAAATAAATGACTTCTTTCTATCAGATCACTATCTTCATACTTTTTAAAATCTTGCTGTTCTAAACTCTTGTTCAGTACTTGTGTATGATTCGTATGATTATCGTTTGGGTGATTGATTTAGGCATCATATCCCTCTTCATATTCATGGATTGATTGATCGTGTCTAGTTTCGTGCTAGTAATACTACTAACAATTTAGCACTTCATCGTTCGTATAAGCAAGTTGTGTCATTTATGTCTCTCAACTGTTTTAAGGTTGGTTGGTGACATGTTTTTTTTTTCTTTTGATATATTTACTACACATACTACTATTTTTTCTCATATTTACTATTATGTTGCAGATAGTTGTGGACTTTACTGCTTCCTGGTGTGGTCCCTGCAAGTTCATTGCTCCATTCCTTGCAGAGTTGGCCAAGAAGATACCCACTGTTACCTTCCTGAAGGTGGATGTGGATGAATTGAAGGTGAAATTATTGAGCCAAACGTTTAATTAACCGAAACTCCATTAATGTTACCTAACAATATATGATCCAACATATCAGGATTAAATTTCTTGGTACGAATGATCTGTTAGAAGTACTGATGATGTCTTATTTACTTGTCGCAGTCTGTAGCTACTGATTGGGCCGTGGAGGCGATGCCAACCTTCATGTTCATCAAGGAGGGGAAGATCGTTGATAAGGTGGTGGGAGCCAAAAAAGATGAGCTGCAGCAGACCATTGCCAAGCACATCAGTAGTACTTCATCAGCCTAATTAATATGTTTTACTCCATATTATATTGCACTTGGTTGAGTGGCATCTATCTTAATATGAGCAAGAATTAATTTAATTTTCGTTGGATATTGCAAGTTCTTACTATTAAGTCAAATATTATTCTGCAGTTTGAACCATTCCGTATCTAATCAAAAAATGATTTCTTGCGCTGAATGATAAACGTGTTCATTAGTTATTTCAATGGGTGTTATTTCATTTGAATTATTTATGCTGTCCGTGTTATAGTGTAGTGTAGTTTTATCAAATCGAATTAATGAACTTGAATAGACTCCTGCCATGGTGACCCACTTGCCTCGAGTGACAGAAGTGTAACCTAATAAGTCGACTTCAGTCTTCAAAATAGTACATTCGATGTAGCAATAATTTCTAGGATTGAATATATCCTGGCTATGAAGAAAGACATCAACTAGCATAGAGTAACAGCTCAAGATTGATGGGTAATGGAAACCAAAATTTGAACTGCATTCTCAGTTACAGAAACTTCCGTTCAGTTTGTTGTAAGAAGAGTTGAATAATCCAAGCATAGGGTAACAACATCAGCAATAGGACCATAAGAAATGGATGCAGGGTGTGAACTCAAAACGGAACTATGGTACCTTATAAGAGAATGCTCTAGTGAGTCCCATGTACTTCTGTTTAGGCGTAATTCTCATGCTCATTTCATATTGGGGGGATAATTACATGTAAATGAAAGACAACATGGATGCAAATACACTTTTCCATTGAATTCTTTCTGCCAACTGCACAACACAGACGATTATAAAGGGTCATATTAGGATCCGTTCCTAACATGAACCTAAGGGGTTTGATTTTCCCAGGAAGACAAGCTATCACACTGACTAAACAGTACATTAACGACCTTATCTGGTCCACATTTCCAATTTAAAAGCAGAAAAGGACCAGACTGCACTCTAAGATGGGAGTTGCATTTTGGAACTCCCAATGATCTACAAACAAACTCATGTATAAATATGCTATCTTCACAGAGTCCCCCCTCCAGTACCCCAAAATTAAGATTACTACCTAATGAACGCGTATCAGGAGTTTTCCTTGACAACATTCATCAACCAAACTACTACCTCCTATTTCCTTTGCTTCACAGTTTATTCTTACCTCACTAGCCTTTTCCTCATGGGTGTACACTAAGTTATGCAACATTTGAACAACTTTTTTTCTTTTTTACTCTTCAATTCTGAGTAGGTGTACAATGTGCTTCTACAGACAACCGCTTCAGTACGTTGGGGCAGGGATCTTCTCCAAAGTTGCTATTTGATATTGTCACAGCACATGATTGGCGTCCTAGACATTTCTGGCAAAGTTACAAGAACAAAATGTGAGTCAAAGGAGATTATACTGCCTAGAGAGTGGTTGAACAAAAGTAAACAATCTATTCTTGTCCCTTTAACACTGTAAGCAAAACAGAAGGGTACCTTTTCTACAACGGCGTGTGAGTCAGGAGCATGGCAAGTTCCTTGCTTGAAGCTCCCACAGGTTCCAAGAGGAGTTCCGAAGCTTGCAAATTTAATGGAGGAAATAGATTGACCAGGAGCACAGTGAATGCGAACTTTAGGTAGGTGAAACTCTTCGGTTTTGCCATAGTTCTCAATTTGCCAGTTCTTAATGTTTGGATGATATTCAGCAACATTGGAACATACGTTAGTGACTGATCTCTTCACGAGAGAAATTCTTGTGGGATCTCCACCAAGTTCTTCAAAAAGCACCAATAGATTTTGAGTGGGTTTTAACCAAGACCGAGGAACATGGTACCTGAAAAAATAAAATCTTTAAGTTGCCAGTACAAGGACCTCCAGTTTCCAGTTATTTATGGTGTTGAGTGAAATTGTCAGGAAGCAGTGTATAGCTGGGAAGAAGTGACTTACCATTTTTGAGTTGGTTCCCCACATCCCAGTTGACATTTTGGAGGCCGAAAGGTTCCAGAATATTGGCAACCATTGCAATCTCCAGTAGCATAGGCAGTCCAATATCTACCAATACTCTGACCATTAATCCATACTTGACCTTTACCCATACTGCTCATGTCCAAAGCCAATGGCTCATCTCCTTCGGGCGTATTGAAGTAAGCCTGCAATATGATGAGTTGTAAGATATGACTACCATCACTTGCATCTTTGGAACCTTACTCCTAATTTCATACCTTATGCCATGTTAAGGGTTGTTGTTTCTGTGCAATTAATGAACCTTGCATCCAGTCAACGGCAGAAATACCATTTGTCGAAACAAGATTCATGGCCTCCCCTTTAAGCCCAACCTGTTAGTAAGTCCATATCAGTATAAAAGGTTGCAGTTGAAATAATTGATGATTGATTGAACAATAGTGCTATAAGTTAGCGCACCTGATATGTCCACTTTGCCCAGGACAAGTCCCATTTTCCCTGGTCAAGTCCTTGAATTGCAACAGGACCTAGTACTCCAGTGCTCCATGTTTCAAAATGTCCACCAATGTTCTTCAGAAAACAAACAGAAATATTAAGAATCTAGAGTACATTAAAAAAATGTATAAATGATCTCAGGACTGTAAATAGGCTACAAAGTATTGCTTCAACATATCAGTGATCATGATGATAATAGCTAGTTGCACTGTTGAGCTGGTTTCCTATCCCTTCTTTTCTGATATACTTTTTCCTATCCCTTTACTGCTGGGAAAGAAGAATTTACATTATCTTCCTCTCACACGGGTATATAGTAATCAAAGAATGCACAATGGCCTTCTTACACTGCAAGGTAAGCATCGTGAGGCCGTATTTTCTTGTGCGCTTAAGTTTCAAGCTTTTGCCAATCCCAGCGGAAAAAAGGGAAAACGTTGTCTACAAATTATCATTAACTCTGCCGAAAGTAGCCATTAACCCATGCTCAATAGTTTTAAGCTATGCAACATTTTAACCCCTCAGAATTATTCTTTTTCTTCACTTCCTGGTACCAGCATTTTGTTTTTTTCACTAGCATAGTAATCAGTGATACTACACAGCTGATTAATGATTCTGATATATGTTAGTGATGCTCAACACTTATTGTTGACTCTTATTTTATTTTCTTCATGAGTTATTCGAACTTGAATTGATCTCAAGTATGCAAGGATGACCAAAGGTGAGGATTTAACTAACCGGCAGTCCGACAGCCACGCTAAGCAGTGCAATTCTGTTTGATCCGGCACGAAGATTGACTTTTCCTTTAAATACAAATCTCCTATTCTTCCTCGTCCCAAATGCAGAACCTATAACATGTGTAGGAGCATTCATCGAAATTAGCCAAGTTTAAGCATACATCATAGATAACTTTTGATGAAGTATCATTGACTGCATTACCTGAGAGCTGACCATTAATAAACACATGCATAGCATGGCCTGTTGTCTCAACTATAAGAGTAGGGAGCTCTCCACCATGCAAGAAGGACTCAGTTGAACCAATATCAACACTGTACACAGAGGAAAACATCATACATGTCACATAAAGCTAAAATTTCAGCTTTCAGGTCACAAGTGTTGAATGCAAAGAAGTAGGAGAGGTCCCAAGGATGAGTAATATGAGAACCGAAAGTGACAATTCATCTAGAAATGCTCCTCGAGTGAGTGGAACATTTACTTAATTTCCTAGAAGATCAGAACACATTATTCTCTGTAATGGAGGTACTTCAAGACATCCACCCTCCACCCGTAACCCCCTTCCCATTCTCCCCTTCTCTTCAGACACGTCTTGCAGTAAAAAGATATAAGCAATAAAACATTTGCACTGGCAAACAATCCAATTCCTCGTGAGAAGCAAATCGAGGAAACAGGTTTAATATACTAAACCAAACTCACCTGGTTATGTACCACAAGTAATCACTTGTATCTCTGGTTACATTTATTTGCTCCAAGAGACCAAAAGACCTAATTGATGAGCTGTCATCTAATGCAGACATATCTTCACTGTAAGTCTCCCAAGATAGCATCTCTGAGTTAGTCGGTAGCATTTCCATCTTTGATGTTTGAACTCCAACCTACATATGGTATTTAAAAGCTTTTAAATCCTTGCTTTCAGAGTTGTTAGCGAGTAGCATAAATGAACTATATCTTTCGGAAGATGCTAAGCAGCTCATGAGTACTATTGAATGTACAGAAGTTCCTACACAGGTGTATTACGTACTTTGGCCGTGTTGAAGACTACATTTCTGCAATCAGGAAGGATGCTAATGGACCAAGGAGGCAAATTATAGTGCATGTTATTGAACATTACTCTAGCAGCAGATTTCCAGTCATTGTTTGACAAGAAAGCTGCACACTCCCCTGTCTCTGAAGAGTACACATATGCCTACAGCAACAGAGAATATTCAATGAGAGACAAATTATAATGAACCATGGTGACAAGATTACTGATGCTTATGCATATTTATATACTTGTTGAAGGTTTCCCAAGGATGTGATAGCTGGATCTGCGGAAACTATGGATTTCTCACACATCTTGACAGCTCTATGAAGCTCCTTGAGATGACCATATTTTGGCTGTCTGATCAGACCTGTCGAATGGAAGGGGAGTTTAAAGGACTTCTCTCTTTTGGTTAAGCGGAACTGAATAATGACATACGCAAATTTTTATACTACGAAGCTTTTTAAGCGCACATAAATTAGACAGGGAAGCTTTGAGAAATACTTATAGAGCAAATATCAGTGAAGGAAACATGGTCTCACTGAACCATTCCACAATTTCAAAGACCATCACAACTCCTTAAATAATACTCTTAAGACCTGTGAGTTTAAATTTAAAAGAGAAGAGATAAGTAGAGAGGAAACAACAGCTCTACACTCACCATACTCATCAATTGGAGCATCATAGTCATAGCTAGTAGTGATGAATGGCCCCCCCGCGGTGCGTCCAAAGTTCGTGCCCCCATGGTACTGTTAGGCAAAGAGAGGAAATGTTGTTACTATATGGGACTTCATGCATGCTTCCGATTTATAAAGAAGTACTATGACTTTTCTACATCAGGCATTTGCCGAAGTAGTGAAATGGAACTAACCATGTAATAGTTAACAAAAGATCCTCCTCTTTGTATAAATTGGGCAACAGCAAATGCCAAATCCTGAACTGGCCT